GAGGAGGCGGAGGAGGAGCACAAAAGAAGAAGAATCAAAGTAGTCAAAACCAGGGGATGGGCCCAAACAGTGATCTTGGGGGTGGGGGTGGAAATGTATTATTATTAAAAAAAAAAAATATACACAAACCTTATATTCTAACTCTAGGACTCTATCCCACAGATATACGCATACATATGTTCAAAGACATATTTCTATAAGAAAATTGTCCAAGCATCTCTGTAATGTGCATTTCTACTAATAAGAGACTCTCTGAAAAATATGATCCATTCCTGCCCTGGAGTACCAGGTAGTTTTGAAAATATTGAAGTGGAAAAACATGCATTCTAAACTATAAAAGGTCAATGATCATTTTGTGTAGTTTGATCCCAATTTTATAAAAAACAAGCAATGACACTACATGTGTGACCATGAGTAACATTACATAGATGCTTGTAATATAGACTCAGAATGCTATGGACAGACACACAAAGGCCTTACCAGGAGGGAGAAGGAAGGGTAGATTAGATAAAGAGTATGTGGGCGCATGACGACAGCCTAGAGCCACCTGAGTGTGAGCACACATACGCATGCAGTGATCATGGGTTGTGGAGAGGTCTCATCCCAGCTCCACACGATCGTGGATCATGGCAGACTATTTTTAACCTCATCACCATTTGCTGTTGGGTCAGTTCTGACCCCCGCCCCCCTCCCGGCAACCTCTTGTGGCTCAGAGTAGAACTGTGCTCCACAGGCTTTTCAGCCGTAGACTGCCAGGGCTTCCTTCCGTGGTGCCTCTGAATGGACACCCATTGCTCGCCTCTGGGTCAGCAGACAATCGCTTTCACCATTTGCCTCGCCCAACCCACTGCCGTTGATTCTATTCTGACTCCTACTGACCCTGTGGGCAGAGTGGAGCTGCCCTTAGGATTTCTGAGCCTGTATGACACCTTTATAGATGCAAACAGCCCCAGCGTCCTCCCTGCAAGCAGCTGGTGAGCTGGAACTGCTAGTTTTCCAGTGCACTGCACCATCACCCGGGGCTCCTTCCTTTGCACTTCACGCATGGCCAAGGCTCCCCTGCAAGGTGGCATGTGCCATATCTTCACAGCACAACATAGGAGGGGTTACCCGCCCCCCCGCCCCCGAAAAAAGCTTGGATTTTTTTTCAAAGATATGTATTTAATTTTTTTTTAACAAAACAGCCTTATCACCTTCAAAATACTCTCCATTCCACCATGGTGGCAGAGCTACAGCAAAGTGGAACCAGAACAGGGACTCTTCCTCCCACTGGGGGCCACACATCGCCTGCCCAGCTCCTCTGCCACCTGCCAACCCTTCAGATGTCTGGAGACTGCTCTTAGGTTCTTGGAACTCACTTCCACTTTGAATTTGGGCTTTCCCCATCCCCCCTGTGCTGCCCACTTGTGGTTCTCCCGCTCCACTCCCAGAAGGGCAGGGCTGCTTGCTTAGGACAGGCTGGTCCTAGGGCCTAGGGCAACTGGGAGTGACAGGAGGATGACCAGGACTGTGTCAGTGGTCTGGGGGTAGACACTGGCTGGGATCCACTGGAGGGCATGGCTGGGCTTGGCAGGTGGCTGTCTTCCTCTAACGCCTGCTCCTAGTTCCCACTCAGCTGACTCAGATGGCTCAAATCTGGCATCTTCCCAGAGACTGTGCTGAGTCATGCTGCAGGGGAGAGTGTGTTAAGTAACAGTGACAAGTGGGCTTGGAATGCTGGGCCCTGCCTCCAGGCATAGAGCAGAGCCTTCAGGCCACTTGATGCCCAAGTGATCTTCTCCCCTTTTTGCCCTATAGCACCTCTCAGCTGGAAGACTGGCCCTCTCCATCTCTGGAAGCAGGCTCATCTCAGCCCCCTGAGAGTAAAGAAGGTTCTGTTGATGCTTCCCCCACCCAACGCTGAAAACCCACTGCCACTGAGTGGATTCCACTCATAGTGTTGCCATCGGACAGAGTAGAGCTGTCCCTGTGGGTTTGCAAGACTACCTCTTTAGAGGAGCAGAAAGCCTCGTCTTTCTCCTGAGGAGTGACTGGTGGATTTGAACTGCTGACCTTGTGACCCATTATACTATCACCACCCTAAAAAAATGAGAGTCCTCGGGCCTAAGACCAGTCCTGCAAGAACCGCATGCCTGTTCTGTTCCTCTCTTCCTTCCCCACAGAGCTCTCAACCAGGTCCCAGGCTCAATCCTGAGCCTGACGCATGCGGGGTGAGGTGGCAACTGTGCTTATGGGGGAAGGACGGGGGAGACCCTAGGACAAGAGCAGAGGAGAATTCTGAAGCCAGCCAATCCTCTGCCGACACCCAACATATTGTTTTAACTTCTTTCCCCACTTTCCAACACCTCCCTCTCCCCTCCCACACCAGGGAAAATGACAAATACATCCACCCTAGAAAATAGCATTATTCATAATAGCAAGAAGATGGAAGGCAACTGAATGCTCGTCACTGGTAGAATGGATAAATAAACCCACACATGAAGGGAGACGTCAGACAGTGTAAGACATGAAAAAATAATAATAATTTATAAATTATCAAGGGTTCATGAGGGAGGGGCAGGGAGGGAAGGGAAAAATGAGGAGCTGATACCAAGGGCTCAAGTAGAAAGAAAATGTTTTGAGAATGATGATGGCAACAAATGTACAAATGTGCTTGACACAATGGATGGATGGATTGTGATAAAATGATTTTAAAAAGAAAAACATCTCCACACAATGAGATGAATAAATACACATAGTGAGACGTGGAACAACGTTAAAGAAGAGCAATGCATCTGCCCCCACCTCACCACCCCCACACACCTGTGGATGAACCTGGGACATTATGCTGAGTGAAACCAGTCCATCCCCAAAGGATAGCTATTGTATAAGGCCACTGTTATGTTTCTAAAAATCAAGAAAAGGTTTTCCCATGAGAAGAAGACTGCGATTGTTCCCAGGAGGGGGAGGGGAAGGCAGGAGAGGGAAAGGCATAGGCCAGGGTGGTCAACCCAGCTCTGTCCGACTCTGTTCAGGGACTCACCTGCCATTTGCGGTGTGGACAGGGGTGAAGAGGAAGACAATAGCCAACAAAAGCGAGCTGGGCAAAAAAATGATGGCAACAAGGCAGATGCCAAGGGGGTTGATAGGTTGTTGAATCTGAGCATGAAACTCTATCTGCTCTATAAACCTCCCAATTCATAATAGAAAGTTTAAAAAACAAGAAAGAAAGTAGTGGGATTTTAAATCCTAGGAGTAAGTGGCTTGTGTTCAACTACTAACCTAAAGGTTGGTGGTTTGAATCTACTGTGCGATTCAGAGGACAAAAGCCCCGTTGATATGCTTCTGAAAACCCAGCCAGTGGAAACCCTGCCGAGACTGTCCCACTCTGACCGACATGTGCTGCCAGGAGCCGGAGTCAAGTCCAAGGCAACAGGGTTGGCTTCTTTAGAGGGAGCACAAGGCTTAATTAGCTCCCAGGAATGCTTGCTGTCCTATCTGCCTCCTTACCCACCTCAATCCCAGCAGGTCTAGGCTTGCCTCTTCCAGTAAGTGCACCCATAGTCCTTGGGCCCAGGAGGCTGAGCTATGATTTGGAGGGTATTAGCTCTATCTTAGCAAGTAGATCATCAAGATCCGGAGGGCTGGACAGTGCACCACACCCCTGTACACATGCTACCCGGTGCTGGGAACATACAGGTGTCAACAAGAGCCATCCCTCCATCCATCATCCATGTGGTACACCAGCACCATACAGGCCTGAGGCACAAGCACTTGTTATCTCGATTTGATGAGGCTGGGCTTGGCTTGTTAGCAGAACTACATTATTTTTACAATCACTCGACAGTGGTGGAGCCCATTAAAATGCCCCCAAAGCCCCATGGATTCTTGAGTCAAGATTAAACAGCTAGTGGTGCCACCCCAGGTCTGTCCTACTCTGTTCATTGACTGGGATCCCATTTCGGTGAACAGAGAGCTGTCTGGAGTTTAGAGCAAAAAAGACAGTACGCTCCTCCACCGGCCCCCCTTCCCCGATGTAAGCCGCTGGCTGGCACAGCTCCTTCCCACAAGGGACCCTGTCCATTGGCAAAGGTCCAAACAGGACTTAGCCCTCTGGAGGGCTCCCAGGTGCTGGCTGGCCTTCTGGTTCCGTGGTGGCAGCAGCAGCGGCGGCGGCGGCCTCTGGGAAGCGGGCAGCTGCACTCTGCAGCGCCCCAAGCGGACCCCAGCTCGCCCCGCAGGAAGCCCTGCTCGCTGCCGCTCCGGAGCCCGCAGGCCACCCCTCCAGCTCAAGGGGTCCTTGGGCGGGATCTAGACTCTGCGGCTGCCTGATGCTAAGCCCTCTCCCGACTCCCCACCCCATTCCTTCCAAACAAGCCTACCAGCTCTGGGCCGGCGGGCGCAGGCAAAGAGGACCTGCACAAACTTCCAGGCTACTTACAGCTGTGGCGTGGTCCCTGGGCACCGGGGCTCCAGGGCAGGCGGCGGCGGGAGCTGGGGCGGAGGGCTCAGCTGGGTGGCGAAAGGGGCAGTGAGAGCCAGAAAGCTTGTGCCCAGGCCAGGCACTTCCCTCTGAGTTTTCCTCCTTTCTGTCTTCTCTGGCACAGGCTCGGAAAGTTGCAAAAGAGGCTGGGCTAGGCTGACCTCAGCTGTGTGGGAGGAAGGGTGGAGTGCAGTGGGAAAGTTCCAGCTTTCTGGCGGCCACGGGAATGTCTTTTACCAGGGATCCTGGAGGGGGGGCGGGGCAGCGGAGAGGGGAGAAGAGGGGGGCTCGGAGGTGGGATTTGGGGCTCCGAAGGCCTGAAGGGTAATGTGTTGGGGTTGGAGTCTTGGGTTTGTTTTCAGCCTCTGCCGCTGGAAGCGGCCCAGTAAAGAGGCCCGGTTGTTTGTTAAAATCTTAGACCCACATGTGTCAGAGCTTTGGGTCCTCTGCTGGTGTGGCAAGGAGGGGTTCTGCTTCTCATCCCTTATCCTCACCCCTATATTGTGCACATACATGCATGGAAACACACACGCACGCATGCATGCACTCACGCACGCGCACGCACACACACCGGATTTATGAGACCAGGGGCAAGTTCTGACGTCTCCCCAAACCTCTCTGATGAAGATGTGTGATCCAACCTGAATTACTTAGGAGACCATAGCGATTTTAAAACGCTGTCAGCAAAAGGCTAATTTTGGTATCTCGTTGAGCTGCTTGGAACCATGCCTTGAGTAATTATGGTGGCAGATGAAAGGGGGATGAAGTGTGTTTAGACATGGCCAAGTTACCGGGATCATCACATCCCAAAGTCTTTCTCCTGCTTCGAATACATCCGGTGCAACCCTTGGTCCCCGTGTTGCTACAGGGAGGTGCGATTCTGCCTCCACAGCAGGACATTTGGGTGCTTCATAATCTTCACGTTCAAGAGGGTCTTCCTCGTGTCCACAGGCATCTTCGACGCTGCTTCGTTGCTATTGTCTATGTCTAATCCAGTCAACTGGACTAGACCTTCCTCAAAGGCAGAGCTAGTGTCCTGGAATCCCACACTCAGCCATGCACAGTGCTGGGGAAAGGGATGGGCAAGGAGCTTTGGGGTTGAACAAAAGCTCCAGTTGTGGCTAATGTCCTTGTGTCCATGAACAAACAGGCCCAGAGGGAAGGAGCAAGGGTTTCCATGAAGTGTGATCCTGGACAGGGAACAGTGCGGTAGAAAATGGCAGACCATGTTTGCCCCAAAGGCTCGATTTTGGTTATGTGGAAAAGGATGTCTCCATCCACAATCTGGCCATAGCTGTTCATGTCAGCTAACTTGTTTTTAAATGGTTGCCCTTTAGAAACACCCTCTACTGGTGTTCAACTTTTCTGGTGATGTTTTCCTCCTCCCCCCCCCCCCCCTTCTCAATTCAACTTTTTACAGGGGTGCAACTTATTGATAGCAGTGACAATAGTCAGTTGTGCACCTACCCTGAAGCAAGGTGCTATTTCCATTACAGTAAACCCCTCCTCCATCCCTATTGCCCCCAGTAATCATTGAAAAATGGTGTTCTCTGTACACTTGTCTTCTTCTATAAGTGAAGTAATACTTGTTCTTTTGTGGTTGACTTATTTCGCTCAGCATAATGTCTTCCAGCTCATTCGAACACTACAATGTGTGAAGGTGCCGTTTCTCCTACGGACTGAGTCGTAGTTCAGGGTGTGGGTGTGCCACGTGTTGTCTATTCATTTATACGTTGCTCAGCGCTTAAGTTGTTTCCACCTTTTGGCTGTAGTGAGTGGTGCAGCTCTGCTTTCGCGTCTTTTGGGTAGATTCATAGGAGTGGAATTGCTGGTTTGTATACACACTGGGCTGGGATCCGCATGGCTAGCAGTTCAAAACCATCAGCGACTCCAAGGGAGAAAGACTGGGCTTTCTACTCCCCTAAACAGTTGCAGTCTTGGAAACCCAGGGGGAGGGGAGAGGGGGGAGGTCGCTATGAGTCAGCGTTGACTAAATGGCAGTGAGTTGAGACGGTAATTCTATTTTCAGTGTTTTTGAGGAACCGACACAATGATTGTACCATACTGTGTTCCCACTAGCAATGGCTAGGGTTCTGGTTTCCCCACATCCTCGCCATTTGTCTTTTATTTTATTTGTTTGTTTTCTTAGTCATCCTGTTATCATTCGGTACTGGTGAGTCGATTCCAACCCATGCCCCCTACGTACAACAGAATGAAATACTGCCTGGTCCTCCTGTATCTTCCTCGGTCACTTACGGCGTTTGAGCCCATTGTAGCCACTGTGTACATCTTTCTCATTAGGGGTCCTCTTCTTTTCCAATTACCCTCTAATTTTCCAAGCGTGATGCCCTTCTTCTGGCACCTCTGGATAACATGCCTTCCCTTAGATGAGTGAGCATTTCCAGTATTTCGTCTACTTGTTGAACCATTTCAATCGTTAGCAAGTCAATTCCTGGAGTCTTGTTCTTCATCAATGTCGTCAGTGCTGCTTGGAAGTCTTCCTTCAATACCATCAGTACTCAATCATCTGTTGTCTTCTGAAATGATTCAATGCCCATAGTGACTCTGTGTATTCCTTTCACCTTCTTCCGATACTTTCTGCTTGGCTAAATATTTTGCCCAAAAGAATCCTTCAATATTACAACTTGAAGCATGAATCTTTTCTTCATTTCTTTCAGTTTGAGAATTGCCAAGTATGTATTAGGTTCTCTAGAGAAACAAAACCAGTAAAACAGTGAATGTATATATACATATATATGTGTATGTATATTATATCCGCTTCTACAACTGTGTGAGTCATTTTCTTTAACTAAAATTACACACACACACACAAGGGGGACCCAAAAAAAACAAGAATTGCAGCTGGGTGGAGCCGAGCTTTTCTAGTGTGCATTTGTCCCACTAGGTGAGTATGGACCAACTCACTCTGAGTTAGTGCACCTGGTGGCCTGGGAAGGTTCTCTCTGGTCACAGTGAATTTTTTTTGTAAAAGCAGTTTCTCTCCAACCGCATTTTTCTGTGGTGGCCGGTTTAAGAGAACAGCATGCAGCTGTGAAATTTTGTTTCCTACTCAGGAAAAATGCCACAGAAACTGTTGTGATATTGAACACCGCTTACAAGGACAGCACTATAGGAAAAACTCAAGTGTACGAATGGTTTTCTCATTTCAAAAAAGGTGAAATGTCGATTGATGACAAACCTCATTCTGGACGTTTGTTAACTTCCTGAATGGATGAAAATGTTAACTCGTAGTACATTTGGAGTTCGCTCCACCAGGCAGACTGTTAACCAAGTTTTCTAGTTAGAGGCTCTGAAAAGATTGCATAACCATGTGTAACAAAATGTCCTGATCTGTAGCAGATGAGGGACTGGTTTTGCCATCAGGACAATGCACCTGCTCATGCAGCCATCTCAGTGTGCCAGTTTTTGGCAAAAAACAGCATGCCTCTCTTGCCCCATGCACCTTACTCACCTAACCTCACTCAGTGCTACTTCTTTTTGCCTTCTCGAATGAAAAGGGACATGAAGGACAGCGATTTGATGACTTAGAAAAGGTGATGAAAAAAATGAGGGTGGTGCTGTCAGCCATCCAAACAGATGAGTTTGAAAAATGTTTCCAAGAATGGAATCGCAGATTTGACAAATGCATTAAGTGTGATGGAAAGTACTTTGAAGGTGATAAGGTTGTATTGTAAAAAGAAAATTTTAATACATAGCATTTAAAAAATTCTGTTTTTTTTGTAGGGGATACCCGTGTGTGTGTGTGTGTGTGTGTGTGTGTGTGTGTGTGTGTATTCATTGTCCCCCCCCCCCAAAAAAAAAATTAGATATCAAAAGCTGCTGCATAAGAGCTCTTTAGAGTGTTGAAAAGTAGAGAGGTTACTTTGAGGACTAAGGTGCACCTGACCCACAGCCCTGGTATTTTCAACGGCCTCATATGTATGTGAATTTTGGACATTGAATAAGGGAAACCAAAGAAGGATCAATGAATTTGAATGGTGGTGCTGGTGAAGAGTATTGAAAGCACCATGGACTGCCTAAAGGACAAATAAATCTGTCTTGGAAGAAGTAAGACCAGAATGTTCCTTAGAGGCAAGGATGGTGAAAATTCATTGTGATAAGAGTTGTATGAGCCCCAATAAAACGACTTAAAAAAACACGTTGACATATTGTTAGGCGAGATCAATCTCTGGAGAAGGCCATCCTGCGTGGTAAAGTTGAGGGGCACTGAAAAAGGGGAAGGCGCACAAAGCGATGGATTGATACAGCGCTGCAACAGTGGACTCAAGCACAGGAAGGATTCTGACGATGGCACAAGACAGGACAATGGTTCCTTCTGTTGTGCACAGGCCTGCTGTGGTGTGGAACGGACCCAATGGCACTTAACAACAACAACACACCCTCAGTAAAACTTCCTTTCAAGTCTATCAAGGTTATGACAGTTTAAGGGGGTGCACTCCCCCTATTTTCCCCACAACTCCTTGTTTTCTCACAGAAGATCCCATCATAGAGTTGATTACATTATATTACATCACGTCACGGGAGAATCTTGGCCCAGGCAAGTTGACACAAAACCTGACGGTTCCAATGGTCTTCTCCTTGGGTTTCCTAACTCTAGGTCCTTGCAAGGTAGGTCGAGATGAGTTGGCATCCACTGGATGGCAGTGAGTGACAAGAGTCCTGCTCACACAGTGGATTGCAGGTTGGACTGCTAATTGTAAGGTCAGCAGTTTGAAATTACCAGGCATGATTGGAAAGAAAGATGAGACTTTCTACTCCTGTGAGCATGATAGTGGGACAGGAGGAGAATCAAGGGAAATAGAGGAAAGAGCTGGGAGGCAAAGCGCATTTATAGAGGTCTAGATAAAGACATGTACATATGCAAATATATGAG